GTAAAAAAACCTTTCCTTTGCCTTAGACGAAATCTTCTTTCTTCCAGTCTAAACGCTTGACCTCGTGTCCTATGTACCTAAGTCTGGTTTGTGAATAGATTTCCACACAATGGTTTGTACTGGCCCTGAATATATTTGAATAATGTTATCATATCCCCTCTCAGGCAACATTTTTCTAAACAAAAGAGGTTTCAATTTGTTAACCTTTCGTCATAGCTGATATGTTCCATTCTTTTTATTAATTCTGTAAACCGCCTCTGCACTTTTCCATAATATCCTTCATTAGAACAGGTGCGTATACAATATGTGGTCTTACCAGTGATTTATAAAGAGGAAAAATTATATTCTCATCCAGAGAATGAATGCCCTTTTTCATGCATGACAATACCTTACTGGCCTTAGCCACTGCTGATTGACATTGCACATTGTTTCATAGTTTGTTGTCTATAACAATTCCAAAGTCCTTTTCGTGTGTTATTCGCTTCCATTAAGGGTATATGTTGCTTGTGCATTCTTTACGCCAAAGTGCATAACTTTGCATTTTTCAACATTACATTTCATCTGCCATTTGAGTGCCCAGCCCCCAGTCTATCTAAATCCCTCTGCAGCAAAGTAATATCTTGCTCACATTGTATTATTTTACTATAATCTGTTCTATAAAAGGTCTCCTATCAGTAAATTCCCTGTTCAAAATATCTTCCCTCCCGTGCCTTCGAGGGCACCTACTGCTAACCCCACTAGATACCTAGAAGCTAATAGTGACAAGGATGTAACACAATCACTAAGTCGTTAGATAAAATAAAAGCATTTGCACGGTGGCAAGTCCAAGTGCTAGTAAAAGGTCATATAATATAGCACTACATGGATCCCTTGACGCGCATGTTTCGCCTGACCTGGCTCATCAGAAGGGAACTGGCCGGTACAGAGCACTGAATTGAAATAGGGGAAGAAACCCTCTCATTGGTTCAGTATGTTCATTGCTGATTGGTGAGTTTAAAATATGTATATACTGACGTAGCAGAATTTTCTCTCTGGGAGCAAACTCCCTTGATTAGGGCTGATTAACCCCTTCGGGTATGTTGCTGATCATGCAACGACTTTTATGAATTAATATACAATCAAAATATTTCAAAGCTTTAAAGTCTGTAGTTAGTAAAGTTACTCTAGTAGGTTTAAATTAGATAGTCCTGGAATAGTTATATTTAGGAGTCATTGTATTAAAGTAGTTTATTGTACAGAGAAAAACCGGGTTGAAATTTCTTTGTGAAAGATGTTAGTGTGTGTAATGTGTTTCCAATTCCCTTCGTTACTATAATGTTTTTGTGAGACAGCTTGTGAAGAAAATCAGTCTGGCGGCAGCATTTAATACCCCATGGTGAAGGTATAATTAGTCTCTATAACCAGTTCACCTGTTGTATTTCAAAATGAAACAGTAATAATGCAATTACTCCTAAATATAACTTTCTCAGGCTTCGGTCCAATATAAATCTACCAGAGTAATTTTACAAATCATTGCCATACAGGCTTTAAGTTTTCATATCATTACTACAAGAAAGGTGACATGTGATGTCATAATTGTAATAATATGCCAGTGAAACGAATTATAATTATAATATATAATGTTTCCTCTATGGGTTATGATTACTTTCTCTCGTTGTTTATAAACTTTAAATACTTCTAACACCCTTTACGAGGAAATCTTAACCCCATCTCTCACTTTATAACAATAAAATTATCATTCTTATATATATATCATTTCAGATCTTTGTCGAACATAAACCTATGAGACTAATGTTGTCTGTGACACATCGTAAGGTGCTTATTTATCCCAATTATAGTTGCTTTAAATGTATAGCAACAAACTTTGGACAGTCAGACCACATATGTGGTTTTCTCATAAAGGATATTCCTCTTATCTGCTTTCATTGCCACAAAAGGAATAATACAAAATAATGATTTAGTGAACAGGTTATAGAGACGAATTATACCTTCACCATGGGGTATTAAATGCTGCCGCCAGACTGATTTTTCTCTCTAGTCGGTCCTCCCACACCTCACCCCTCTGTGAGTCCTTACATTGGCTTCCTGTATACTATAGTAGTCAATTCAAAGTGCTAACCCATACCTATAAAGCACGGAATAAATAGTCTGTCTGAAGGTAGACTAGGGGCTTTAAAGCCAGATAGATGAAAGAGTCATAGTCACAGGGGAGGAGGCTGGCAAGTAGGCCTCTCCAGGACCAAGTGGCGAAGGGCACTTCGTCACATATCTCCCCTTCGGGGGGAAGACTAACCAGGCACCTGACTTTCTGTCGGTCAGTGCCTAAGTTAGTCGAGTCACCCACCGACCATAAGCAAGTGCCAGAGTAGCCCACCCACAACAAACAGTTATTAGAGCAGCCCACCCACAGCAAACAGTGACTGCACCTGGGTATTCCTCTGGGGTGATGGGGCAACATGCTGTGGGGACTTGAGGGGCAGAGGCCAGCGGCACTCTGCCCTGATGCCAGTGCTTCTGCTGGGAGGAGGGGGTGCAGGCCAGTCCTGTGACAAGGGGATCGGTAGGGCAGAGGCCAGCGGCGGTCTGCCCTGATGCCAGCTCTTCTGCTGGTATAGCCTGCAGGACATCAGGCTCTGGACAAGGGACAAAGGGAGGGCAGAGGCCGACTGCACTCTGCCCAGCTGCCAGCTCTTCCGCTGGGGGGCTTGGGACATAGTCCGGCTCAGTAGCCAGGGGAACGTGGGGGTCAGTGGGGGTTAACATCTCCCCTGTTAACCCTGGGGCCAAGTTAGGAGTTAGCTGGGGAGGGGAATTCGTACTTACCCCCTCCTCCTGTTGTCCCTGTGAGGGTAGTTGGGGATCTGGACAGGCTGTCCAGCATCCCTGTAGGTCGGGCACAGAGACCACGGTCCCCTCTGCGCCATCTGGGAGATTGGTGTCTCCCCTTGGTAGGGTAAGCTGCCGCTGGGGAGATAGGGTGCTGTGCTCCTCTCCCTGAAACACAGGCTGCCGCTGGAGAGGGAGACCGCCTGTCTCCACTCCCATAACATTGTCCTGCTGCTGGAGAGAGAGACCAACTGTCTCTGCTCCCTGTAGGACACACTGCTGCTGGGGAGGAAGGACGACACCTTCGGCTCCCTGTAACTTGCACTGCCGCTGGGGAGAGAGACCAACTGTCTCTGCTCCCTGTAGGACACACTGCTGCTGGGGGGGAAGGACGACATCTTCGGCCCCCTGGAATTCGCACTGCCGCTGGGGAGGAAGGATGACACCTCGGCTCCCTGTAACTTGCACTGCCACTGTGGAGGAAGGACGACACCTTCGGCTCCCTGTAACTTGCACTGCCGGTGGAGACTAGGTGTCCATATCCTCAACCTCCACAGTTGTCGCTCAAAGGCCATTGCCGCACTGTTCTCAGCACTCAACTGGCGCATTACTTGGTGGGCCACCTCGTTCGAAAGGTCTGGGCCATAGCAGACCAACTGCCTCTTTACCTCCTCAATGTAAGCGTCGTCCTCGTAGCGACGTATCATGTTGAGGTGCTCTTCGCAAGGCTCTATCCATCCCTGCTCCATGCTGCTGTAGTTAGGGACGCTGCACAGTGGCTAGCGTTGCCCTCAATAACCTCTCATACGATACCAGTGTCTCCGAACTGCTTCTCCTCGCACTAGGACGCCATCCCACCGCTGCCACCAATGTAACAGAGCTCCTTGTACTCCTACTGAGTACCCTCCGTTGATGGATGCTCCTAGCGCTTCCTAAGGACTCCCAAGCACTGCAGCAGACACCACAACCACCGCAGACTCCGCAACCGCCGTATCTTGACTGGAGTCTCGTCGTCTTGATCAAGTGATCTGTCTGATATCCAAATTAATTTTATTATTGAAGGAATAGAAATAATACTTAATAATAACTTTTTTTGGTTTGATAATAAATTTTATTTGCAGACTAAAGGTACAGCTATGGGGACCAGATTTGCCCCAAGCTATGCCAACCTTTTTATGGCCTATTGGGAAGATCTCTTCATCTATAAAGATGAATTGCTTGGGGCAAGTCTGGTCCTCTATAAACGTTATATTGATGATGTGTTTTTAATATGGAGAGGCAGTGAGGAAGCACTTAAGACACTATTTAATAATTTGAATAATAATAAGTGGAATATTACTTTTACTTATGACATTAGCCACAAGACTATCAATTTTCTGGATCTAACAATTTTTATCGAAGATCAGAAAATTAAAAGCAAAACGTATTTTAAGCTGGTTGATGTTATTAGTTTTATTAATTGTGATAGCTGCCATTTTAGACCGTGGCTGGAGAATATCCCAAAAGGACAAATGTTGCGAGTCAAAAGGAATTGTACTGAAAATAAGGAGTTTATACAGCAAACAGAAAGATTAGTGGGACAATTTGAAGAAAAAGGCTATAAAAGTAGTGCTTTAGAAAAAACTTTTAAAGAAATTGAAAAAATTGATAGGCAAACACTTTTACAATATAAAAATAAAAATCTGAATCAAAAGGAAGGTGAGGAAGTACCCCTTGTTTTTGATTTTAGTACCAATAATAGAGATTTGAGGAAAATAATTCATAAAAATTGGCATATTTTAAAAACTGATGATAGGTTAACCAATTTTATAAAGGATAAACCAAGAATTATTTTTAGGGGGGCAAGGAATCTTAAGCAAGTTTTAACAAAAAGTTTTTTAGACGTTGATAAGAAAGAGAATTTTTTAAAACAACCAAACGGTTTTTATTATTGTGGGAATTGTAGGGGTTGTAAAATAACAAAGAATAGGATATATAAAAAGATTTAGAATTTCAGCTCAAAAACTACAACAAAACAGTATGAAGTTAAATCATTTATAACATGTAATAGTAAAGGGGTTATATATATGCTAACCTGCCCATGAGGATTACAATATATAGGGAGGACGTCCCGTAGTCTTAAAATTAGGATCAGGGAACACATTTATAATATTAATCGTAAGTTTGAGAATCATAGTGTTTCGAAACATTTTATGGAACATCATAACAGTGATCCGAAATACCTAGATTTTATAGGAATTGAAAAAGTTGATACACATTGGAGAGGTGGAGATAAGGAAAATTTACTTAATAAGACGGAAATGAAGTGGATTTTCAATATGCATACTTTAATACCACAGGGTTTAAATGTGGATTTTGAGATCACCCCATATTTATAAAGCTAATTTTATTCTAATTATTAGTTTTTTGGATCCTTTTATTAGTATATATAGATTAATATGTTATGTAGAAAGACATATTAATTTTTTCTTTTAGATAAATTTTATATATATCTTTTTAGTTGTTTTTCTATATATTATATATGGATATATATATATCCTTAAATTATATATATATTATGTACATGTTGGGTTGATCTTAATCCTCTTTTCCCATAAACATGTATTTTATATATTTTTTATATATCTTTGTATATTTTTATATGCTCCTAATGTATTAATATGAAATAATATGTGAGATTATTGATATTCTCTCTTTTTCTCCCTTTTTTCTCCTCAGTATAATTGGAAAGTGTAGTTTTCCAAGTGTATAGTTTTATGATTATATGATTTATTTAAATGTGTTATATTTTAATTGTATTGTTTTAGTTTTTGCCCATTTGCGGATTGACGAATTCCATCTGTAAAGAGGGCAAACTTATTTAGCGCACAGGCTCCGCCCCCTACGCATGCGCCGCGACGGTAGTATGAAAGAACGTGTGACATCATGCGTATGGGGCGCCGCCGGAAGTTGATGAAGATGAGGTCAGACGCCGGAAGACGGAGAGGGTGCAACTAGATACCGGAAACCGGAAGAAAAGGGCGTTAAAAGAAAGGTATTTAAACAAGAAAAGAAGAGGAAGAAGGATGAACTTTTGATAAAGGCTACAGGCCGAAACGCGTTAAGTTTTATACCTAAGAGGACTTTTTATTATTTCAGTGTTTATTGTATTTGTACCCAGCTACCTAGTATATGTGGAAATAAAGGCTGTTTAATATTTCATCACTTCCTGCATCCTGAATTGATTGAAATAATTAAGACTGAGAACCACAGAGGAATTTCAACTGGGATTTCAACTTTAATAACACTGATTTGATATGCCGTTAGTCTGAGCCAGCTTTTAAAAGTGGCTCATGACCATGTGAGTTTTACCATCTACTTTATTAAATAACTAAAGTAATTACGTTATTACCCTATATGCTTTTTTGTTGATTCCAGAATTTTAAAGAAATTGTATGCACTGAATGGGTAAAGTTATACAGTGTGCTCTCACCATTCACATTTTTTGTATATTGTTTTATTCTGTTTATGTGAAAAGTGACTCACATTGGTGATTGGAGCACCTAAGATCTGAATCTTTTAACCTTAATCCTTCTATATTTTACATAAAAAAATCATCTGAATTGGCCCAGTGGTTCGAAAGATAGTTGGAAGTCACATTTGACCGACTGCAAACATGGCTTTCATGCCCGAAACAGTTCCACAGATTTAGGCTGTGCAGCTGGTCTATCTTCTCCTCTTTCCTGGAGATAATTGGCTTAAGTGGGTGTGGTAAGCCAATTATCTCCAGGTACAGGAAATATGTCTAAGTCCAAAATCTGTTACAAAAGCCACATAAAAATACATAACTCATATAATACAATGTTTAACTTATAAGTTCAACATATCCCCAGACAGCCTGGATCTGAGTGCTCAATATGTCCAAAAAGCGCTCAGATCTCACAAATACAGTTGGATCGCCGTGGGGTTAAACAATAGCAAGGGCTGATGAGAGAGTGAGAAGGGAAAAGCAGCCAGTTTCAACTGGTCTGGCAGTGTCCTGCTGGAGAACAATAGGACAGGAAGAGGCACATTTTCCCATGGATTTAAAGGGGCAGAAAAGGTATCTTAAAATCCAATGAGCCCAAATAGACTTTTAAAATGGCAATACACACCAGGGGCCATAGTTATAAGGCAGGAGGCTGGCAATCAGGGTCCTCCAAAAGCCAGGGGTAAAGGGCAATTTGTCACATAATCAACCAGTGGCAAAGGGCAGTTTGTCACAGCCTCCCAGACTAACATCTACCTCACATACCTGTCTCTTGCTCTATCCTAAAGGGCAGCATTTTACTTTCTCCTCCAGCTCTGCTTCACTCCCACCTAATTTGACTTCTATTTCCTGTCCTAATGTGTTTTATACCCCACCTCCTTTAGACTGTAAGCTCGTTTGAGCAGGGCCCTCTTCAACCTATCGTTTCTGTAAGTTTTCTTGTAATTGTTCTATTTATAGTTAAATCCCCCCTCTAATAATATTGTAAAGCGCTTCAGAATCTGTTGGCGCTATATAAATGGCAATAATAATAATAATAATATGTATCATTATGCTGCTAACAAGCTCTATATACCTTGGATTGACAAATTCAAGCTGTCTCAAAAAAAAGTTACAGTAACGAAGGGAATTGGAAACACATTACACACACTAACCTCTTTCACGAAGAAATTTCAACGCAGTTTTGATCTGTACAATAAACAACAATAATACAATGACTCCTAAATAAAACTATTCCAGGACTCTATCTAATTTAAACCCAGTAGAGTAACTTTACTAATTACAGATTTAATTCAAAAAAGTTGTTGCATGATCAGCAACATACCTGAAGGGGATAATCAGCCCTAATCAAGGGAGTTTGCTCCCAAAGAGGAAATTCTGCTACGTCAGTATATACATATTTTAAACTCACCAACCAGCAATGAACACACTGAACCAATGAGAGGGTTTCTTCCCCTATTTTAAATTAGTGTTCTGTCCCGGCCAGTTCCCTTCTGATTAGCCAGGTCGGGCGAAACGTTATCTTATATGACCTTTTACTAACACTTGGACTTGTCACCGCGCAAATGTTTTGAAACACTAGTATTTGTGTTCAGCAAAGTCTCCCGAGTATAACAATATAACAATACTCGGGAGACTTTGCTGAACACAAATACTAGTGTTTCAAAACAGGAAAACATATCACAACAATTATATCATCAGTAAAAGTGCTGTTTGTGTGTGAAAAATGAAAAAAGTCACTTTCACTGACAATATCATCGCTTTGATATGTTTTACTGTTTTGAATCACTAATATTTGTGTTCAGCAAAGTCTCCCGAGTAAAACAGTACCCCCCATGTACAGGTTTTAGGGTGTCATAGAAAGTTACAGGGTAAAATACAGTGCTAGCAAATTAAATTCTCTGGACTTTTGGCCTGGGTTGTTAGGCAGGTCCCTCAAATTGCAATTAGTACCCTCCATGTACAGATTTTATAGCGTTTTTGAAAGTTACAGGGTCAAATATATGGGTCAAATATTTTTACATTGAAAATGGCAAGGTTGGTTACGTTGCCTTTGAGAGCGTATGGTATCCCAGGAGTGAGAATTACCCCCATGATGCCGTACCATTTGCAAAAGAAGACGACCCAAGGTATTGCAAATGCGGTATGTCCAGTCTTTTTTAGTAGCCACTTAGTCACAAACACTGGCCAAAATTAGCGTTCAAATTAGTTTTTTACTTTTTTCACACACAAACAAATATGAACGCTAACTTTGGCCAGTGTTTGCGACTAAGTGGCTACTAAAAAAGACTGGACATACCCCATATTGAATACCCTGGGTTGTCTACTTTAAAAAAAATATGTACATGTGGGGTGTTATTCAGAGATTTATGACAGATAATAGTGTTAAAATATCACTACTGATACATTTTAAAAATGTATGTTTTGAAACCGCAATATCCTACTTATACCCATAGCCCTATAACTTGCAACAAAAAAAAGCAACAAAGCTTGTTATTTGGGTATTTTAAAACTCAGGACAACATTTTGAATCTATTTAGCAGTTTTTTTATTCGCTTTTGAAGATGAGTAAAAGATTTTTCAAGTAAAAGTAAAAAAACATGATTTTTTTTCAATTTTTTATCATTTGTTTTATTTATTTTTAAATTATATTGCATGAGATTATATAAATAATGATATGTAAAGAAAGCCTTTGTGTCCTGAAAAAAACAATATATAATTTGTATAGGAACTGTAAATGAGAGAGCGGAAAATTACAGCTAAACACATCGCAAAAACAGTCCAGTCCTTAAGGGGTTAAAATGGGGATGAATTCACAAGTCAGCATCTCAAGAAAAAATATATATATTTTTTAAAAAGAGTCACTAGATGGTATAGGACTCCAGCCCGATTGCATAAATAATGTCCAATGGTTAGTGATCGATGCTGTGTGAAACTGAACGGGGAGATATGGAACATATTTGGTGGGAATGCAAACATGTTAGATCATATTGGTAGAATATAAGATTCCACCCACATCTAAACAATTAACCCCTTCAAAGATATTGTTGGGTTGGCCAGTCTCTTTCAAAGAGAAACATAAACATCTATTGTTGAATCACTTATTGATTGAAGCAAATGCTATGATCCCGGTCCTTTGGCATAATGGATATAGAAAGTTGAAAAATGGAGGGAAATGGAGGAAATCCATTGGGCAGCTCAGGGGAAGAGAGAATATTTTCTTAAGGTCTGGGAGCTCTGGCTAACTCGGTGGATAGATCCCGTATAGATAGGTACTTTGGTACTTAATGAGGTTACTCTTGAGATAAAGAGGCATAAATTAAATACTAATTTCTGATGTGGGGGGGAAGAGAGAAAAAGAAAAAGAACATGTGACAAAAGCTTGGCGTAATAATTGCAAGATTGCTTAAAACACAGATGTGATCAAATGTATTGCTTGGTTTGTATTTCCCAAAATCATATATTTCCCAGAGAGTTTAATGTTTAACCTTTTAATTGTACAGTCTAAGCATTATTTTAAACCTCACATATAAAAGTTATAAATATCAGTTCATTTTTTTTTTTTTAGAATATTGACCAAGAATCTTGGACAAATGTATTTAAAGCATTCCGATAAATGACTCATTTGGCACAGTGATTAAAAATAAACAAAAAGAAGACTTTAAAAAAAAAAAACTAATATATTTTAAATAGAAATTCAGCAGTCCTACTCAGTGGGACTATGCCGTACTGTGACGAAATGCCTTTTGTCACTGGATTGTTAGGTGACAAGCTTCCCTTTGCCCCCGGCTGTTGGAAGAGCCTGATTGCCAGCCTCCTTCCTCATGACTATGGCCCTGGGATGTATTGCCATTTAAAAAGACTATTTGGGGC